CGGTTTAATGGCTTTCAGTGGCTGTCTATCCATCTCTTCGTCTCTCATTTTGATGACTACTTTCCCGATGTGTTTACCGGTTGTCATGAATCGGAACGCCTTCTCGGCCTCCGAGGCATTAAATACCTTATAATTGAATGGTTTTACGCAACCATTCGTACAGTTCTTGTGAACCCAATCGTAAAACTCCGGCAAAAACTCCGGGTTTCCCATAAGCAGGACATCCGCGACAACTGCTATGAACTGTATATCCCTAACGAAGTCAAACATTCCTATCTGTTTGTTGTGAATCATATCAAAACGTCCCAACTCTACGATACGTCCAGAATTGGCCACACATTGATAACTGGCGTCCAGTTTGTCGCCGGACAGGGAGTTCAGTACGATATCAACTCCGCGTCCTTTCGTCGCTTTCATGATGTGATTCTTGAAGAGAATATCTCTTGAGTTGAATATCCGGTTCACAGGAATGTTATNTCTTGAGTTGAATATCCGGTTCACAGGAATGTTATACTCCTTCACAAGGAATTGCTTTTTCTCTTCCGTCCCAACCGTCACATAGATATCGCACCCGTAGTGGAGACACATGTTTAGAGCCGACTGTCCCACACCTCCGGCCGCTGAGTGGATGAGTATACTCTCTCCTATGCAAAAGGAAACATAAAATTTAAAGTATTGTAACATTAAATAGTAAAATAGATAAGTTATCAAACCTTGTTTCAAATTAGCCCTTTTGATGAGCGCATAATACAGTGTGCTATAAGTGCTGAGTATAGTCACCGCCTCAGCCATAGACCAGTGCTCGGGAACTGTAGTCATGCTATGAATGTCTGCATTAATAGATGTGGCGAACGATCGGCCCATTTCTAAACCCATAACCCTTTCCCCGGTATCAACCCTACGGCCAGCATATTCACAGCCTAAGGCACAGTCGGTGAATATTTGTTCAGGGCCAGGTGGGATACGACCTATATGATTTTATTAGATATTATTTATAATATCAAAAAATAAATTCCGGTTTAATAATAATTTGAAACCACATACCGGTTGCGAGCATAACGTCGTGAAATGAAATACCAGAGTAATAGACATCAACCGGTGTTTTGTGTATTATTTTGTTGTTAGGAGTAATTGTCTCTTTAAGCACCGGTATGTTATTGCCACAAAACCACTGCAAACCTGCGATATCTCGCGATTGTCCAGAATTTAAGTAATACTTATTTGAGAGGCATTTGTCGTAATCCGTGGGAAGTCTTAAGTGCCGATAAGTTCCCACTTTTCCCTCTTTCACGACATTCGCCACCAAATCGTTGGCCAATATATCGCTATAAGTTTACGGAACCGGNTCTTTCACGACATTCGCCACCAAATCGTTGGCCAATATATCGCTATAAGGGCTGACATTGAAGTCTATATCCATTGGACTACCAGTGCTGTCGTAATTGAAAATATATCTCCAGTTCTCTCCTCCCGGTTCTAATCGCAAGCAATTCATTAAACCAATGATACCATTAATACACGAGTCGTTAGCTATAAGCCATACGTTATCCGTCTTATTGTCTTCGTCTTTAGCGGAAATAATTTTCTTTTTTAATACATCAAACCATTGCTGATAATCGCCGGTAATATTAATTATATTATTTTGATCCGGGATAGTCTGCACAACTAATAACTTTCTCAATAGTATAGCCACTGTTCCTATGGTATCGTATTTACGACATATTTCTCTCAATCCTTGACTTTTGCATAAAGAGATAAACTTTTGGATTCGTGTTTCGGAGTCGTTATCATTATGAATATGATTTCCGTTCAATGAATTCAATGCGATCTCCGGTTCCGTAAACTTATAGCGAAATACCGTTAATAGGAATCCATTTCCGACTATAGAATCACACAAATCTTCCGTAAATTTATGCAAATCTATTGGCCATAAGTCCGGTGTGTCTCTCATGATCACCAAATGTGACGGTTTTAATAATAGGCTTTCCTTTACATCCCATACCGTGGTATCGGATCTATATTCTTCAATCACATTTTCTATTGATTTTATAATTAGGTTGTAATCAATAGTAAATGGCAATATACGAAAGTTAGTCATAATCTGATCCACATCTTTAACCAATAGATTATGACTTAAATTAATTTCCGTTACTTTCAACTCATTTATTGTCACAAAGTTTTCGCAAACGATGTCAACAAGAGATCTAATCATTCGCTCATTCCTTGAGATCTGGTTTATTAAGTCATTACTTAAATCGTATTCAGGATTCCTTTGTATGTTAAGCAAAATATTATCCAAAACTTGTTTATCATTATTATAATCCATAGTTTCCAACAGTATTTTATCGAAAACACGAAACAACACATGATTTTCATTGTTTTCATTTCTATACACTTCCATCACTTCATCGCTAATCAACTCGATATTGAAATCGTATTTCATTTCATTGAAACTCATTTGTTTCACTTTAACGGCAATTGCTTTGCAAACCTAAATAATATACAAAAATTCAGAAATAAATACCTTGATCTAATTTACACATAATGTCAAACTTCTAAATATTGCTGTGTGTTAGCGGCTATGCATTCCCCGATGGCTTCCTTGTCATTGTTGGCGCAGAACTTATACGAGTCCAACACTAAGTCAGACGTATCGGAGCGTCTGGATATAGGAACTGCCATCACGTCCTCAATCTCTATCCCATGCGCTACCGTACGCTTACACTCAGTGTTGACATATACGGGCAAATCGGCCGAGTATTTGGCAAAACGTTCATTGAATTGATTGATAATTTTACGCGCGTAGTCTTTAATCCAGGCCATCTCGTCATCCCTGTCCATAACCATCTGACTTTCCGATTGGATATCATTTACACTTAGCTCCTGTTCCACGTTCACAATGCCTGTCTTAACCATATTATCCCTGATCATAGTCTCCGCGTAATCTGTTGGGGCCACTGTTTCCTCGATGTTTTTATACCTCTTAAAGGCGTCGAAGAGTACGCGCGGGTCTATACGTATGGAGCGAATCATCACCGGAACCATTAGCTTACGAAAGGGTAGTGCCATTAGGGATGTCTGGGCGACGGCATCCAAATAGGAGATCATATTTCCTGTCCACTCGTTTACGGCGTAAATCTCTTTGAAGTCATTTGTGGCGACTCTACGGAGTCGTTGAAACTCTGGGCCGTAATCATAGCCCATAACACGTAACTCCTTATAGATGTCATCCCTTTCCAGTTTGTACTCACATAAGGATATCTTATTTTCATTCTCGTAGATCTCATTTTGTGCGATCAGTACGTCATCACCCGGTGCCCTGATTTTGCCCACAACACAGAGGTTGCCGTTTTCGTATATTGAAAACTGATCTAGTATAAAAATCAAAATAATAACGTTTACACTATATTTAACTATAGAGTAGGAAATGATACCATTAGTCGAGTTATATTTGACTTGAAGTTTGGTGTCCTTATCGTCGGACAAATGTACCGCACGTTTCATTTGAATGTTTTCGAAAATAACGGGAATATTGTACCAGATTTTACCCAAATGTGCGGCTAATAAACGCCAGCCCAACATGAGATAACCCATAGCTGGGTAGAGGGGCATCCCATCGATCCGATGATCCAAATAAAACATGTCCTCTTGTATTAGACAATTGACCCCAACATTCATGTCCGACGAATTAGCTCTACAATACTTTTCGGGATATATTTTTCGAGGAAATTCGTGGCTGTGATCCCATTTGATGAGTGACCCAATAGACGGCGTACCCCTCGGCACCGGCCACTCGACTCGTGGGTAGAGTTTATCGATCGACAGATTGTAACCCAATTCGTAA